ACTTTCAGTCTGTGTGAGTCCCTTCTTCTGAGGTGGGTTTCTTGTAGACAGCAAATGTTTGGGTCATGTTTTCTTATCCATTCAGCCACTCGATGTCTTTTGATTGGAGCATTTAGTCCATTTACGTTTAAAGTTATTATTAAAAGGTACTTGTTTGTAGCCATTTCTATATTTTGTGGCTGTTTTCTTTCTGAGCTTTTTATTTCTTCTTTTTACACCTGTCCCTTTAGCATTTCTTGCATTGCTGGCATGGTGGTGATAAACTACCTTAGCCTTTTTTTGTCTGTGAAGCTTCTTATTTCCCCTTCAATTTTGAATGATAGTCTTGCTGGATAGAGTATTCTTGGATTCAGTCCTGTGCTTTGCATCACTTTGTAAATTTCCGTCCATTCTTTTCTGACCTGATGTGTTTCTGTTGAGAAATTATTTGATAATCTAACGGAAGACCCCTTGTATGTAACTTTCGGACTCTCTCTTGCAGCCTTTAAGATTCTCTCTTTGTTTTTTGTTGTTGTTGTTTTTTAAATATATTGTATTGATTTTTTTACATAGGAAGGGAGAGGGATAGAGAGTTAGAAACATTGATGAGAGAGAAACATTGATCAGCTGCCTCCTGCACACTCCCCACTGGGGATGTGCCCACAACCAAGGTACATGCCCTTGACCGGAATCAAACCCGGGACCCTTGAGCCGCAGGCCGATGCTCTATCCACTGAGCCAGACCGGTAAGGGCTAAGATTCTCTCTTTGTCCTGAACATTTGCCATGGTAATTACGATGTGTCTTGTTGTGGGTCTTCTCGGGTTCACCTTCTTTGGGACTCTCTGTGATTGTGTGACTTTTTTCTTCCCCCACCTCCTTAGTTTTCTGATATTACTTCTTCAAGAAGGTTTTCTAAGTCTTGTTCCTCTTTCTGTTTTTCTGGCACCCCTATTATTCGTATGTTTCGTTTTATGTTGTCCCATGGCTCACTTAGGCTCTCCTCCTGTCTTTTAATTTTTTTCTCCAATTGCAGTTCAGTTTGGGTGTGCTTTGCTTCCCTATCTTCTAATTCGCTGATTTCGTCCTCCACCTCTCCTAGTCTACTGTTGAAACTTTCAATGGTGTTTTTTTATTGCAGCTATATCACTCTTTATTTCTTCTTGGTACTTACATAATTTATTGATTTTTTTCATCTGTTTCTTCCTGCTTCTTGCATAAGTTGATTTTTTCCTCCATCCGGTTTATGCATTCTATGACCCTTAATCTGAATTCTTTTTCTGTCATGCTGCATGCCTCAGTTTCACTTAGCTGCTTTTCTGGCGAGTCCTCCTTTTCTTTCCTTTGGGGGTTTCTTTGTCTACCCATGTTTGATCTCACTGACATAACTAAATGTTGAGTCATTCAGTGGCTGATCCCTGGGTGGCAGTGGCTCCTCGGGCTGCGGTTGCTCCTTCAGAGGTTGTGGTAGCAGCTGCTCCTCACTTGGCAGCAACTCCTGTGGTGGGTGCTGTTCACCTCTGCGGTGCCTCCTCTGGCTGGTGGGAGGAGGCTCCACACATAGCTGCTGTTCCTCAGACAGAGGGTGTGGTGATCATGAGGCTGCTGTTCCTATGGGCTCCACAGGCAGCTGCTACTCCTTTGAGTTGTTACTTTTAATCTCTTAAGCGGCCTCAGGGCTAGGTGTTTTCCAATAGGGTGTGTCCACTGTCTTTCCCCCAGGCAAGGCTGATGTCTATGCGGCTGTGTTAGGGAATGACTGAGCCGAGGAAACTTGGGGTGTCTGCCTTCTGAGCTCTATCCCTCGTGTCCCCAGAGCTGGCCTCTGTTCTCACAGCTCCAGTCCTCTTCGCCCTCCCTCTGTCAGAGTACAAGGTGGGTGGCTCCACAGGGACTGTTTGTGCCTTGGCCCTTTAAGCTGGTGCCTGAACTTTCACCTGCCACTCCCTGGCAGACAGTACCCCACTGCTTTCCACAGCTTGATGCTATGTGGATACCTTCCTCAGCTTGGTGTTCTCTGCTGGGGAACCCACCTCTGGGATTAGATCTCAGAATTCTCAGTGGCACCTCCCCCCTCCACCACCAGCTGAGATAACTCTGTGTGACCAGTTGCCCTCTGTGGGTCACGTCTCTGCCCCTCCTACCAGTCTCTATCCCAGCTCCACCTTGGGTCCTTGGGTATCAGGGTTCTCTCCTGTGAGTTTTCTGTTGATTATTCAGGAAGCCTTCTCATATTTCAGTTGTAATTCCAGCTTGTTTCTTGGAGCATGGCCATGCAGCAGCATCCTACTCTGCCACCATTTTTAATCTCTCTGGTTAAATTTCTTTTTTTTTTTTTAATATTTTATTGATTTTTTACAGAGAGGAAGGGAAAGAAATAGAGAGTTAAGAAACATCGATGAGAGAGAAACATCGATCAGCTGCCTCCTACACATCTCCTACCTGGGATGTGCCCACAACCAAGGTACATGCCCTTGACCGGAATCGAACCTGGGACCTTTCAATCCACAGGCCGACGCTCTCTCCACTGAGCCAAACCAGTTTCGGCATAAATTTCTTTTCTTTTATTTTCAAATTAAAGAGTCACATTTATTGCAATCCGGGACTATGAGGGGCCATTCCCCAAATCTCATAGTCATAAGATGGTGGCAAAACCAGACTTATATAGGCAAAGATCACAAAGGTATTGATTACATCTCAAGGTTTGGAATGAGGAACCTGGTTTGCAAAAAAGCAGTTTACAGAAGCAAAATTAAGCATGTTAATTATAGTTTTGGGTCTCGGGATCACTGAGTTGCCAGGAACTCATTATCTAGAGCCATTGAGGTAATTTAGAGTAATTGCGCTGTCCTGGTCTTGGGACCACTGAGTCAACTGGAACGCATTATCTGTGTCCACTAAAACAATTTAGGATAATTGTGCTGTCCTGTTTCCCAGGTACAGAAGAATGTGCTTTCTAACACCAGTAAGATAACAATCAATGGGGTAGTCACGTTACAATCAATAAGGCATTCAATCGAATTGTATGATTTATGCAATTCAGAAAATCAAAGTAACTTTTCTATTGTTAAACAAAGCAAATAAGTACCATACTTCATTCCCCACTGGTTTTATGTACATGAGTCAAATCATGAACTCATCTTTACTAGTTCGGGGATTTTACTGCCCCCTAACTCCAAGTGGTTAGCCCGAATTAATTTTTCTAAACTGCCAGCTTGGCACATTTATTTTCATTTACTCACCCCACTTCTTTTAGGGGCATTCTCTATTCTGTTCCTGCTCTCCTGTCCCCTAGCACATCTAGCCCCTCTTAGCCCTGGACTTTCTCACTGGATAAAAAAAAAATGTTCTTACAGTTACCAAGTGCCCTGGTGCCACGGTCCCCATCCTCACTGAAGTCCAGTGCCCCTCCTGCGGGCATCGAGCCTCCTCCTGGCCTGTGTGGAGCCCAGGCTAGGGATCTCACAGATGAGGCAGCTGGATGCCGGGATCAAGGCCGTTTCCTGTTGCAGGAGCTGGGAGTGGTGTAGCCAGGTCTGGATGCCGTAGCAGGGCGACAGTGTATAGTCCTTTCCAAGTTGGGGTGAGTCCTTGGGTCCTGAACTTCTTTACCCACACTGAGTTCCCAGGCTGGAAGAGATGTACAGTATCCGAGGTGGGCACTGGCAAGGCATCTCGAACAAGCTTATGGGTGGCTCTCTGGGTATACTGCAGAGCCTGCAAGGACTTGAGCAAGGAATAGTTATGACTTTTGCTTTGAATTCCTTCCCTAACTTTGGGTAGGATAGGGGGAGGTTTACCAAACATGATTTCAAAAGGAGAGAACCCCTCCCGGTTGGGGGTACACCTGGCCAGTAAGTAGGCAAAGGGCAGGAGGTTGGTCCACTTTTCACCAGTTTCTGGGATAAATTTAGTTAAAGTCCTTTTAGAGTCCTGTTCATACCTGCCCTGAATTTGTGGCCAGTATGCACAATGGAGTTTCCAATTTATGCCTAAGACTTGAGCTATATACTTTGAGACTCATATTGCCACCGTGAAAGGTCCTTAAGGAAACCATTTGTGGAGTAATAACAAGCAGAACCTGCCTCTATCCTTTTCTTGCCAGCCAATGCTTCTGTCCTCCCTTGGTGAGACTTTCCTCATCCAGTGACCTTTTGGGCCATGTTATATGTAACAGCCATTTCCTGAGAGTCTCACTGACTTATCTTGAAAATCATTGTATGGCCCTGACCGGTTTGGCTCAGCGGATAGAGCATCGGCCTACGGACTCAAGGGTCCCAGGTTCGATTCCGGTTAAGGGCATGTACCTTGGTTGCAGGCACATCCCCAGTGGGGAGTGTGCGGGAGGCAGCTGATCGATGTTTCTCTCTCATCGATGTTTCTGACTCTCTATCCCTCTCCCTTCCTCTCTGTAAAAAAATCAATAAAATATATTTTAAAAAAAAGAATATCATTGTATGGAATCATGTCCAGTTGTGACATAAACAATTGTGATGAAGATATTCTGTATTTATCAGGTCAACATGCACGTCACGTACGTTTCTTTTCTTCAGGTTGCTGCTGTGGAGCTGAAAACGTGAAGGAAACGACTGAACAGAAGGTTTCTGTAAGATTGTCACAGGCAAGGAATCCCAAGTTAGCCTTGTCTTCCCAGAAGAGCCACCCCTGTGAGAGTTGTGGGCTGGTCTTGGGAAACATTTTCCACATGATGGAGCTGCAGGGAACACAACATGGACAAATACTGTTGAGGTGTGGGGCATGTGCAAAACAATTTTATTTCCATGCAAAATTTCACCAGCAGCATGAGAAAGAGAAATCTTTCACTAGAGGTGTGGACAGTATCTCACTTGCAAACAGCTACAATTTCAATGTATCCCAGAATCGTTTCACATGCGGGGAGGTTGGGCAGGGTGTCCTTACGGGGTCAGGATATCTCCACGTAAAGGCTACTCAGACCAGTGACAGTCCAACCGCAATTTCGACATATGGGATGCCTTTTAAAAGAAGAAAAATTTATTACAGTAGAAAAGATTGTAAGGGAGACCTTAGTTGCACCCACACATTTATTCAGGAAAAAGATGTCCATCTTGGAAGTCAGTGTTTTCTGTCCTCTGAATGTGGAAAATATTTTCCCAAATTTTCTAGCTTTCATTATCAACAGAGAGGTCACACAGGAGAAAAGCCTTATCAGTGCAGTGAATGTGGAAAATCTTTTATGGCTAATGCTGACGTTCATCAACATCAGAGAGTTCATACGGTGGAAAAGCCTTATAAATGCAGTGAATGTGGGAAATCTTTTACCTCTAAGAAGAACCTTCATCAACATCAGAGAGTTCACACGGGAGAAAAGCCTTATCAATGCAGTGAATGTGGGAAATCTTTTACCTCTAAGAAGAACCTTCATCAACATCAGAGAGTTCACACGGGAGAAAAGCCTTATCAATGCAGTGAATGTGGGAAATCTTTTACCTCTAAGAAGAACCTTCATCAACATCAGAGAGTTCACACTGGAGAAAAGCCTTATAAATGCAGTGAATGTGGAAAATCTTTTGCACAGAGTAGTGCCCTTCGTTGTCATCGGAGAGTTCACACGGGAGAAAAGCCTTATCAATGCAATGAATGTGGGAAGTCTTTTGCACACAGCAGTGCCCTTCGTTGTCATTGGAGAGTTCACACGGGAGAAAAGCCTTATCAATGCAATGAATGCGGGAAATCTTTTACCTCTAAGGAGAGCGTTCATCAACACCAGAGAGTTCACACTGGAGAAAAACCTTATACATGCACTGAATGTAGGAAATCTTTTACCACTAAGACTGTCCTTCATCGTCATCAGAGAATTCATACTGGAGAAAAGCCTTATCAATGCAGTGAATGTGGGAAATCTTTTACCCAGAGCATTACCCTTTATCGTCATCAGAGAGTTCATACGGGAGAAAAGCCTTATCAATGCAGTGAATGTGGGAAACCTTTTACCCAGAGCACTGCCCTTCATCGTCATCAGAGAGTTCATACGGGAGAAAAGCCTTATCAATGCAGTGAATGTGGGAAATCTTATAGCACTAAGAGCAACCTTTATCGTCATCAGAGAGTTCATACGGGAGAACAGCCTTATCAATGCAGTGAATGTGGGAAATATTTTACCAATAGCTTTGCTCTTCATTATCATCAGAGAATTCACACTGGAGAAAAGCCTTATAAATGTAGTGAATGTGGGAAATCTTTTATTCAGAGCACTCACCTTCGTTTTCATCAGAGAGTTCATACAGGAGAAAAGCCTTATAAATGCACTGAATGTGGGAAATCTTTTACCCAGAGCTCTGCTCTTTGTTATCATCAGAGACTTCATACTGGAGAAAAGCCTTATCAATGCAGTGAATGTGGGAAATCTTTTATCCAGAGCTCTGCCCTTTGTTATCATCGGAGACTTCATACAGGAGAAAAGCCTTATCAATGCTGTGAATGTGGAAAATCTTATAGAGGCCGAAATGGTCTCCAGTATCATCAGAGAGTTCACAATGGGGAAAGCCATTCTGAGTGCAATTAATATGAGGTATCTCTCAGCCAAATTCTAAATTCATTCTCTGCATAAGATTGCAAATGTGAGAAATTTCTTAGATGTGTAGGAAATGTATTTTCTTAGTTAGGAATTAACAATAGTACAAGAAAATTTGTGCATTCTCATTTTTCTGAATTGTATCTTATACATTTAATCGCCTATATTCTGTAAAGTTCCCATAAGTGTTTTTGCTGTTGTGTTTCTGTGTTTTTATGGTAGAGCACTATGTCATTATGTTGCACGTTCTAACATACAGAGATGTCCTACCAGATCTACTTCACTGCATATTTCTGTTGCTGAAGGTATTTAACCTGAACCACCTATAAGGTCTCTACAGATGGTAGCAATCACCGTCACAGGTGCCCAGGAAACCTAAGTCTGTTGTCTAATTTGTTGACAGAAATGAGGAATACCTGAGCCCTAGTTCTTTCTTCTTTCCCTGTCGTGCGTTGCCATATATGACTCGTTACTGTTGTCCTCATAAACATAATGTTGCAGAAGAACTGCCATTTTCAGGGACACACTTTCCCTAGATGCTAATGATGAGTTTATTGAGTGCCGAAGTCATCAATGGGAGAACTGCCAGACTGAGGTTTCTTTCTTTGCAAAATAATGAAATCTTTTTCCTGGGTCGTCTTTAATCTTGTGTGTGCTATTTATTGTGTGGGTTACTTTATAAGAAAATCTGGGCTCTCCAAGCATGGTGATGTGCAAAACTTTTATGCGGTCTCAAACATTTTTGGCCTTGAGGGAAGACCAGGGTGCAGAAATTACCTCAGCAGTTTTTGCCAAATTTACATTGCTGCCCATAACTTTCCAGGAAACACTGTGGACTCTCTGGTCCGCAGGTTAAGATGGATGCTTAGTGACACAGAGGTCACTCCGAAGAGGGGGCAGCTGTGACCACCTCAGTTATGTCTGGGAGCATGAATTTTTTTTTTCTTGTTTGCAAGGGATGCCAATACATGTGAAGGGAATCTCTTGCCCAGGTCTTGCAGAGGGCCACGTGCCCTAATGCCTACAATTTCACGGGTGATGGTCACTGGTTTGAAGGCCAGAAGAGTAATAGGAAACCCTTTCACTCTAGAAACACTGACCTAATTGTTGTTGTGTTGGAAGACAATACCAGCATGTCAGCAGGGCTGAATCATCTGGAAATAGCTGAGGGCATTTTCCCAAACCTGAAAAGGATGCATAAAATGATTGCTTGCTGCCAAACAGCTGAGGCCATTTCATTCTTCATGTTATTGCCTCCTGTTGGCCAAACACCTGAACAGCTGAAGGCAATTCCTCCAATCTGACAATGGATTCTGTATACCAAACCCTGGCCTTTGATGTATATCTTTACTTTGCCTAAGGACAATTTGTGTTAATAAAAAGCAAGGGGTCCTGAGACAAGAGAGAACTTGGTTTCTTTAGCCAAGCTCCTCTGGCCCCCAAATGCTTTCCAAAATTATGTTTTGTCTCTGGAATCTTTCAGAATTTACACAGAGCGCCTTCTCCAGATTCCTGAACGCTTTTATTAGCTGGCTTAAAACCACCGGAATTGTTGGACCAGACTGCAGCCTATTAGATGAAGTGGTCCTCATCTAACTGTGCATCCTGGAATTATTTTGAGGAAAAGACTACAAGAGCTGTGTGTACACTGATCTGAGGGACTCCAGGCATGTTTATTTTCTGTGGAGCAGTCATTGTCATGGATTATAATCAAGATGTTTTGTGGCACCTGTAGCTTCTCAGATGTTCCCATCAGAGTACTGGCAGCAAAACAAAGATGGAGACAAAGGTTGTCTCTTCCAGGGATGTGGCTTTTGTGGGTTTTGGTGAAAGTTCTTCATTGTTTGTCACATTTTCTGTGACTGAGATGAGACTCTCGCCCAGAGGACATAAGGATGGGGATTGAATATAGAATTGACAAAGCTGTTTTTCCAAAATAGGTGAACGTACATTTCTTTTATCTTGAACCATTTTTTGACAGCTGTAATGAGTAAACTACATGTGTTAAGTATAGTGTTTCATAAATCTTGACAGGTGCATGAAACTGAAACCATCCTTATAGTCATAATACTGACCCTATCTGTAACTGTGTAGCTGCTTCTTGACCTCATTTAATCTGTCCCTGTTCTTCACAGCTTTCCTAGTAACCATGGATTTACATTCCATTTTACTAAAGAACTTGGCTTTTTCTTAGGATTTTTCTACTTTAATTTATATTTCATAAAATATTGGAGATTTATTAAAGATACATTAGTAACTCATCTTTTTTTGATAGATATTCTTTTTGATGTTGTTAATCCTCACCTGAGAATATTTGTCCATCGATTTTTAGAGTGAGTAGGAATGACAGTGAGAAACATAGATGTGAGAGAAAGACATTGAGCGGTTGCCTCCTGCATGAGCCATGACCAGGGCCCTAGCTGGGAAGGAGTCTTCATCCAAGGTACGTGCCTTTGACCGGAATCCAACCGGGGACCCTTTGATTTGCAGGCCTATGCTCTATCCAGAGACAAACTGGCTAGTGATCTGATATATATTCTTTTCTTTGAATATATCACCACAATGTCCATTTTTATAAGTATTTGGTTATTTCTAATAAAGCTGGTACAAACATTTCTGCATAATTCTTTATATGGATATAAGTGTTATTTACCTTTGTTAGTTGGACAGCCCTGAAGGCTCCCAGAGTGCGAGAGGGCACAGCTGAGGCTGAGGTGTCCCCCCTGAGTTCATGAATTTTGTGCACTGGGCCACTAATATAACGATATTCTGTAATTTTGTCATTCAACACTATATTGAATCCCTGTGCTTATGCCATCTGGGTGAGAGTCTCATACAATTTTTTTCATGCAGTTTTATTTAATAGTATTTTTTGTAAGAATTTATGGTAAGCATTTTCTCAGAAGTCTTAAATGCTTTTATTGATTAGAATAATTGGAATAAATGATATATTTAGTATAATAAATGTTTTAATTGATTTTTAAAACATTCTCATTGATTTCATAGAGCAATGGAGATGGAGCAAGAGTTAGGAACATGAACTTTGAGCACAGCTAGCATGGCTCAGTGGTTCCATGTGGACCTAGGAACCAGGAGGTCACGGTTCCATTTATTCAGGGAGGATGCCTGTGCCTTGGCTAGATCCGTAGTGTGGGGCATGCAGGAGGCAGTTGATCAGTGATTCTCTCAGCATTGATTTTTTTTTCTCTCTCTCTCCCCGTCTCCTTTGAACTCCAGCCTCTCCCTGCACAGACATTCCCAGGACAGGCACTTCTCATGCCCTGAAATCCTCAAGCACCTTTGTCTTTGGGTGAATTTTAGTGAGAAATGGGACCTACAAGAAGCCACTGACTCTGCTTCAGGGAGGCGGGTACTGTGGGCACTCAGGTCTCATTGTGTTGGGCCCCACCTAGTGATCTCCAGCAGACTCACTACAACTCCCTGAATCTCAGTGGCTGAATGTGACATGCAGATGATTGATGGAGCTTACCCTGGCCTTCACATATCAGTCAAGTAACAAGCTGAGTACTTGTTGCCAGGATTCCATGGATAGATATTTAAGCATTTTCTCTTAATCCTCACAACAACCTGGACAAGTGGAAACTCCTATCAAATTGCTGAAAATATTCAGTATCTGATAAATGAAGTGAGCTCCCCAAGTTTACACCCGAGGCAAGTGTCAGATTCAATTGGCTGGATTTTTTTTAAAAATATATTTTATTGAATTTTTACAGAGAGGAAGGGAGAGGGATAGAGAGTTAGAAACATCCATGAGCGCCCCCTGCAACCCCCCACTGTGGATGTGCCCACAACCAAGCTACATGCCCTTGACCGGAATCGAACCTGGGACTCTAGTCCACAGGCCGATGCTCTAGCCACTGACCCAAACTGGTCAGGGCATAAAGGGGCTGGATTTTAACCATTATTTTCTCCAGCGTCAGACATAGTCTCTACCACTGATGTGCAGCCCTCACTGGAGCAGGTACAGTATGAGGACCAGGGTGGCTCAGCTGCAGCTCCTGTTTCCATGGGTGAAGTTATGCTTTTCCTCCCATTCCCTGTACATCTCAGAGCACTACCCCTTGGCCTCCCTGTGTTCAGGGGAACGCCATCATTTCTCAGCTGCAGTGGTTTCTCCAGGGGAACCTTCTTTAAGAGTGAGCTGCTGTTTGTCTGCCTTCCGTTTGATCCCAGCACTGAGTTTGACCCACAGGAGACCTCTGTAATTAGTGCTTTGTCTCTGCACCTTTCCCCACGTGTTGGAGGTCATGCTGTGATCCCATCCACTGTGATGAATTTCTTGCCTCAGTCTGACCCTTCAAATGATGCTCCTATGTGGCAGTGACATTCACCCTGCAGGAGTGGATACAATTGGACATGAATTTGGGGACCTAATGTTGGAAGTGATGCTGGAGTCCTACATGATCCTGGGCTCATTGGATGGGTGCTCACCTCCTATTCATGATAGGACCCCCTGCCATGTGATTCTCTCCTGTATATCCCTACGGGCTGAATGAAACAATGGCTCTCACCATGTTTTCCCTGCAGCCTGGATCATGTTCTGGTCTCATGTCCTTCTTTCCATTCACCTGTGTCTGCACCCTGGGTCTTTGGTTTGGAACAGAGTCCTTTTGAGTACAAGCCCTCACCGCAGTGCACAACACACTGGGCCACACCTGAGGTTCTTACTCCGCTTTTCCTGACAATCCACCCTAACTGACTGTCCACACACCACATTATCTGAATGTAGGTGAAGGTGGCTTTTCAGATGATGGTGTTTGCCATTTTGGCCATTTACTCTGTTTTTCTGAGTGATTTCCATGTATACAGCAGGTATACATGTTAGTAAATTTTTTATGGTTTTCCTCTGTTAACCTATATTGTATCAGTTTAATTTTTAGGCCAACTAAAGGTCCTAGAAAAGAAGAAGGAAATATTATTTTGCCTTGACACTCTCATTGCCCTCATCTTTCACAGTCACTCCCCTTAACTTCTTTTTTTTTTCTGTTCATCAGATTATTTATTCAATTGATTTTTAGATTTACTTGTTGATAGATGTGTATTTGTTGTTCATAATTTGTATCTTTACCTTTTTCTTCTTCTTCCTCTTCTTAAAGGATACCTTTCAGCATCCTATCTAATAATAGAGAAACATGGTAATTAGCCGTACCTCCGCTACCCTTCCCATTGGCTAATCAGGGTGATATGCAAATTAACTGCAAACCAAGATGGCGGCTGGCAGCCAGGCAGCTTGAAGCTAATAGGAGGTTTGCTTGCTTCAGTGATGGAGGAAGCCAAGGTTCCCCAACTGCGGCTGCCAGCCTCTGAGCTTGCAGTTTAAAACATTGTTACAAATATAGAAGCTAAACAAAAGCCCAGAAACCTGCTTTCAGCCAGCCGGGATCTCAGAGCTGGAGTTGAAACAGTGTTTCGATTATAGAACCCAAACAAACCAGATAGCTGCTTTCAGCAGCCGAGGCCTCAGAGCTGGAGCCAAGCCTCGGAGCTAAAGGTGGCCCAGAATAAAAAGAAAAAGAAAAAAAGGAGAGGTTGGGAGCTTCAGTCACCTGCCAGCCTGAAAACAGCCCTCAGCCCCTCACCCAGACTGGCCAGGCACCCTAGTGGGGACCCCCACCCTGAAGGGGGTGTGACCAGCTGCAAACAGCCCTCATCCTCTCATCCAGGCTGGCCAGGCACCCCAGTGGGGACCCCCGCCCTGATCCAGGACACCCTTCAGGGCAAACCAGCTAGCCCCCACCCGTGCACCAGGCCTCTATCCTATATAGTAAAAGGGTAATATGTCTCCTGGCACCGGGATCATCGTGACAGGGGGCAGCGCCCAAACCCCCTGATCGCCCTGCGGCTCTGTGTGTGATAGGGGGCGGGGCCACAACCTCCCTATCCGCCCTGTTCTGTTCGTGACGGGAATGTGCCCCAACCCCCTGATCAGCCCTGCTCTGTGCCTGATAGGGGGGAGATCCCCTACCCCTTGATGGGCCCTGCTCTGTGCATGACATGGGGGAGCTCCCCAACCCCCTGATCGACCCCGCTCTGTGCGTGACAGGGTACGGAGCCCCAACCCCCCTGGTGGGCCCTGCTCTGTGAGTGATAGGGGGCAGCGCCCCAACCCCCTGATTGGCCCTGTTCTGTATGTGACGGGGTGGCACTGCAACCTCCCCATCGACCCTGCCTTGAGTGTGACAGTGGGCAGTGCCCCAACCCTCCAATCAGCCCTACCCTGAGCATGACTGAGGGTGGCATCACAACCTCCCGATCCGCCCTGCTCTGTGCGTGACGGGGCGGTGCCCCAACTCCCCAATCAGCCCTTCTCTGAGCCCGACCAGGGGCTGCACCTAGGGATTGGGCCTGCCCTCTGCCACCCGGGAGCAGGCCGAA